TGACCTCCAGCAAATAAATGAGGAAACCATGGAAGCAACAGACAGCTCAGTAGAGGAAATTCAAGGTCAAGTAAACAACACCCTGGTCAACATTGCTGGCCGTATTTTATTTGATGGTGCTGCGGAAACTGCGATAGTTCAGGGAAAATCTTTTACTAAACAAGAAGTCCTGTTTACAGATAACAGTGAATCTCTATGGCTGGTCTTGTGGAAACAGGACACAATTAACATGAAATCAGGGCAATATTCAACTTTAATGAAAAACAGCACATTAAATGAGGCTGACAGATTGAAAATAGATCAAGATGTTGTATTAGAGAAAAAACAACAATTGAAGCTGCAATTCGCACCAGAAGGAATTAACTAAGGTCAGTCTTATTGCACATTCTCCCATCTTTTGTTTACTTTCAAATCTTTCAACTGCTAATATAATCCTCACCAACTTTCACACACCAGGGTTGTGATTACCTTTGATAATGAGCAGAAGAGAAGTTTGTGCATTCTAATGATGCATTTTACGCATTATAAGCAATTAGAAAACAGGCCATTAAAGGTTATGGACAGTGACAAGAAAATCCTCAAATATTCTGTGTGGCCTAGTGCAACTGAAACCAAATGTCGTGGTAAATAATGGCCAGTATTCTGACCATCACTGGAAAAGACATGACTGCCCTAAATATATTTGACAATACGATTAAACAACTCTATACTAAAGAAACAGAACAGGATGGAGAGTTGGTCAAAGAATTTGAAGACCTTATTGATGGTGATATCACTGAACTGCTTCTTACTGTGAAAGGAACAGTTATATTCAATGACATTGTTCACTCTATATTTTTTCCAATTTCAAACTAATTTTTGAACTGTTTATAACCATTCTTATCAAAATACATAGTTGTTTTTACAAATGATATCTAAGGATTGCCCTGCAATCAACTTTCAATGTTAGTTATTTCAAATAAAGCTATCATTAGTTGTCTTTTCCTAACTTTACTTCTATCAAAGCAAAAAAAAAAACCATGAGATGTTACCATAGCAGTGATTCTTTAATTTCAGTAATGCCTTCTTAACTTAGCTGGTTAACATTGTTATTGCACTTTCTCCCATCATTTGTTTATTTTCAAAGCTTTCAACTGCTAGTGTAATTCTCACCAACTTTCAGACACCATGGTTGTGATTACCATCGATAATGAGCAGAAGAGCAGTTTGTGCATTCTAATAGAGCATCATGAGCAATTAGAAAACAGGCAATCAAAACTAATACCTACCGATCAATCAGAGTTTTTAACATTAATTACGACCCCTCCCCCCATAAAAAAGTCGTTTTAAAATAACAACTATACCCGCAATCTCGTGCTCGGATAGAATATTGTTTGAGGCGAGAGGGGTGCTCTTAAATCTTAGTTTTGGAAACACCCCACAATTTGACACTACTATAAGAAATAAAGGTCGTGAATCACTGCATAAACTATCAACAGCATGTGCCGCAGTATTATTATCTTTTGGATATCCTAGTAAAACCATGACAAGATTACACTGTGTTAAGTTTGTTTGTTTGTTTAGTTTGTATGTGACATCACACGCTAGTCGAGTCAGAGTGATTAGAGCAACAAAAGCAAATAAAGGTTTAGTTATTGAGCTACGAAATACATGAAGAAAAAATTGTTTTTTAAACCTTGAGAGAGTTCCGTTAGAAAAGAAGGCAAGACAGGCAACTAAACCACAGCTTCACTCGCCGCACGAAATGGGAAATAGAGCTTGTGGCAGGTTGTAACCTTAGTGAGGTTCATTTCAGATAAAGTTTTGTGAAAACTACCTCTGTTCCAACCTACAAACCGATTAAATAACCTGCGCAGTGCACCAAACAACAGAATACCAACCCCTTTTTGTTCATCTTTCCCAAAGACTGATCTTACCAACACTTACGCCAATGACAGAAAATCTAAAAATTGAGATTGTTTCGGCAAATTCATAAACTCAAATAAACCATATGCGCCGAAATCGGTGAAATCATCAAAACATCTTAAAAGAAAGGATGCTTGCTCTGGATAGTGCACTAAAATAACAGTAGCTTTGAGACTTTAACACCACTAACGTAACGAAAGTGGTTCACAAACCTTTAGGAAGCATTGATCCTGATTTGCGTCCCATGAGTTCCAACCGCCAGCATTCGATCGAATCTCTTCCTTCCATAACTTAAAGGATATTAAACCTACGAATAAGAAATACAAGTTGAAAAAATATTTAGAAGTAGTCGTTACACAGATATTTCAAATGACTACAAAGTAGATTCCGAAAGCTACCAAGGATCATGTTTGAAGTCCAACGCACTATTTTATAACACCTACGTGTTGCCGCCGCATGTTCGTGCAAGACGAGCTATGAACTGAGTAATGGAAATTTCCTTTAAAAAATCTAGCTTACCCTGACATGTAAAAGGTAAAAACTACTTGTAGATTACAATTTACGCAAGGAATGACTCTCACTTCAGCCAAGGACAGCACCAACCAACCATCACACCGTTGCGATGTGTGCTCAAATGATGTTGCACTGGCACAATCACGTGTCTCCTCAACAGCGCTAAATAACGTATGCGCATACGCTAAGTTTTGCCGCGAAAAAAAGGATTTGAATCGTTTGCATGGTTGATTAATAATTTCCTATTCTGCTGCTTCGAGGCGTCGTTTTCCTCGCCGCTTTGCTTTTACAGAACAACCTCCAAAACTTTGTACACCCCCTAAAAATGTTTGAGAATTAATTTTCTCCTTAAAAACTCTGGAAATAGAAAAATGCCTTAAACGACCACAAAATGCCTCGGTTTTAAATGTCAGCCCATCAGTTACATTACGGCTCATTTCTCTAAAGTTTAGGTAGATCTCGCACGCTTGGGCCCGCCTTGTAAACCGCACACTTTCTGACGTAACATTTCGTTATTCAGCCTGATTCAGCCCTGTCTGTCTCCCTCCCGTTTAGGCGATGAAACCACATTATACGGTCAGCGGTTTTTGTTCTCATTTCCTGTAAATATTGTCATCATTATTACTATTATCGTTATATTTAACAATTATTCCACGAGCGCGCGTTGGATATGAGATGATAGATAGCCAACGAGGCGCGTAGCCCGAGTTGGCT